ACTTTACATCGTTACTAGTTCACTCTAGTCAAAAACACGGAAACACGCTGGACAACTGTATATGTAGGTATAGTGAAGTTTGTTACACTGCTCGTGATGGACAACTGTATATGTATAGGTATAGTGAAGTTTGTTACACTGCTCGTGATGGACAACTGTATAGGTATAGTGAAGTTTGTTTCACTGTTCTTGATGGACAACTGGATATATATATATATAGTATAGTGAAGTTTGTTTCACTGTTCAGTTTATTGCTGTAAACAACAAGAGATAGATAATGCTGTGATTTCATTGCTGTAAACAACAAGAGGTAGATAATGCTGTGAAACAGCTAGAGCTTGGGGATTGAACGTATAAGTGTTTACAATAGTGTTCTGAAAGAGATATAGAGGGATAACTTTCATATATAATTGTTCATATTTGTGACTGACAAACAGCAAGAGAGATCTCTTAAAAATATCTACATTGAAGATGATATACAAATTTTGTATATCCAAGTTGGTGAAGAATATTTAATATATAAAAACGTATGTTTAGAGATTTTACAGAACAAAATCGGTTTGGGTTTATATGCATACGAGAAAAAAAAGAGACTAGTTTATTTAAAAGAAAGATAGTGGATATTCACTGAGTATCAATAAAATTACGTTTTTATTATGATTATATATCAGTATCATATTTTGCTGAACTTCAGTTGTGTGTGTGTGTAAATTGGAAGTGTTGTTTGTTACCTTCAATCTGATTATGAACTTTGTAACTTCCCACACACTTAATTAAATGTATTTACAATCCTGTGTTGGATGATTCTGTTTCATATATGGTGAATCTATATTATTTGTATAAACATTGTAGCATTATAACTGTTACAGCTACCTTGCTAAGAGGTTTATAAACATAGTTGCTCTGAATCATATACTTATTAGCAAATTCTAGATTTTGTATTGTAACTACTAAGTTCCAAGAGTTTTGTACAGAATATAAATATGACATCATAACCACAAGACTGGATCATATAATAGAATGAAATATGCACTACTGGCACTTGTGTTTAAAATTATATATTTTTTAATGATAATAAATAATTAAAAACAACGTTTTATATTTACACAATAAAAACTTTATTGAAGCCGTACGGCTCCCACTTTAAAATATCTCTCTACAAGTACGTTTCCACGTGATCTATGTATATATATAAAAATAATAGGATGAAATATTTGTAAGTGTACTAGTAATTGTAAAAAAAGATCTAAACAGCCAAGTGCTGTAAACTGGTAATGTATACATGAAATATTCCATTATTATAGATGGTATGAACATGTATATTGAAATATAGAGTTGTCCAGCAAGAACAGTGAAACAAACTTCACTATACCTATACAGTTGTCCAGCAAGAACAGTGAAACAAACTTCACTATACCTATACAGTTGTCCAGCAACACAGCATTATCTATCTCTTGTTGTTTACAGCAATGAACTCACAGCATTATCTATCTCTTGTTGTTTACAGCACTGAACTCACAGCATTATCTATCTCTTGTTGTTTACAGCAATAAACTCACATCATTATCTATCTCTTGTTGTTTACAGCAATAAACTCACATCATTATCTATCTCTTGTTGTTTACAGCAATAAACTCACAGCATTATCTATCTCTTGTTGTTTACAGCAATAAACTCACAGCATTATCTATCTCTTGTTGTTTACAGCAATGAAATCACAGCATTATCTACCTCTTGTTGTTTACAGCAATGAACATACAGTTTTATCTAGCCTCTCACTGTTTAGAGCAACATGAACATACAGTTTTATTAAAGTTTAGCAGTTTGCAGCACACTACAAACAACTAAACCTAGATAATGCCATGTGTTCAGTACAAACCAGGTCTGTACTGAACACATGGCATTATCTAGGCATAGCTGTTTGTAGCAGGTCTGTATTGAACACATGGCATTATCCAGGCATAGCTGTTTGTAGCAGGTCTGTACTGAACACATGGCATTATCTAGGTTTCCTGCTTGTAGCAGGTCTGTACTGAACACATGGCATTATCCAGGCGTAGCTGTTTGTAGCAGGTCTGTACTGAACACATGGCATTATCTAGGTTTCCTGCTTGTAGCAGGTCTGTACTGAACACATGGCATTATCCAGGCGTAGCTGTTTGTAGCAGGTCTGTACTGAACACATGGCATTATCTAGGTTTCCTGCTTGTAGCAGGTCTGTACTGAACACATGGCATTATCCAGGCGTAGCTGTTT